ACAGCAAATATAAAAGTCCTGGGAAGGGGAGACGGTTTAGTGTGCTAGAAGAGCAGAGCATGGTGTCACTGGGATGTGTAAGAGAGTGGTATGTGATCGAGTCGGAAGGCTGGCAGAGGCCGTGTCACATGGAGCCTTACAGGCCATGCAAAGGAGTGTTGGCTGTCAGTGCAGTGGGAAGCCCCTGGGGGATTTTAAGGAGTGGAATTACAGGATGTACTTTTCATTTTGAAAAGATTGTTCTGGCTGCTGTAAGGAAATGGATTGAGGTGGTTGGTAAGAGCAGAAACAGATGGACTATATGAAGACTGTTGTGGTCCTGGCAAGAGAGAATGGTGGTCCGCAGAGGGCACTGGTGGCAGGAGTATAAGAGTTATTATTGTTATTGTTGTGGGCTGCGTTTTGACCACTGAAAGTCATGTCCCTAATGCCCAGTACCCCAGAATATAACCTCATTTGGAGATAAGGTCTTTAAAGAGGTGATTAAGTCAAAATGAGTTCTAATCCAATCTGACCGAAGTCCTTATGAAAAGAGGAATTTTGGGAGCGATACCAGGGATGCATGTGCACAGAGGAAGACCAAGTGAAGACACTATGAGAAGGTGGCTGTCTGCAAGCCAAGGACAGAGGCCTCAGAAGAAACCAGCCCTGCCAGTACCATGATCCTGGACTTCTAGCCTGCAGAACTTCGAGAAAATAAATTTCTGTTGTTTAAACCAACTGGTCTGTGGAACTTTGTTATGGCAGCCCTAGCAAACCAATATAGTTATGATCGTGATGATGGTGGTGGTGGTAGTGCTTTCTTCATAATGTGTATCCTGTGTGTACTTACTGGTGTGTGTGTATGCTTTCTCCCACGTGATTGTGCAGTCCGTGGTTGGAGCAGGGACCTTGTCTGTCTAATTCATGACAGTGACCACGGTGCCTAGGGCAGTGCCTGGGCCGTAGGAGATCCAGAGTTCTTCATGTTGGGGCTACAAACTCTAGTACATAGGACAGTGTAAGAAATAATAATGTAACACGTTAGAGCCAGAGGGTTTTCTGAAAGCATATTTTAGCAGTGAAAAGATGACCCTTACTTGAATAGAGGGATGTTTGGAAAAAGAGGGTTCTTTTCTTTTTTTAAACAGAGTAGTTCTGCAAATAAGGACATTTAGCCATTATTTCAACTTCATTTCATGGCTTTGTCAAAATAAGGTTAATCTGCGGAAAATGCCTTCCTCGAGGGCCAGGTTTTCTCTTTGCTGTCGGCTCCACTATAAGTGGTTCCTGGCACATAGTAGTGTTCAATAAATATTTATTAAATTCGTAAAATCATTTCAAATCCTTCTTTGTTCCTTCTTAGAAAGTTTTGAATTGCTTTTAACATTCTCTTATACTTAGCCCAATGCCAGTTATTCCACAGAGAAGGTAAAATATTTTGCCTGTTCTTTTCTTCTTTAGAATTGCATCACTTGTCTTGAATCAGGTTTTCACTTTTCGGTGTTTTTGACCTTAGACTGCCCTTAAACTGAAGACTCACAACCTAACTCAATGGCTCTGGCTCCACCTTGTGTCAGAAATGCAATACCACACCCACTGAAGGCTGGCTTGCTGAGAACCAGCCAGCCCAGGTCAAAATTTTGAATGGCCTAAATGTTGTACATAAATCAAATGGTGATGTCACTGTTGGGCAGCCTTGTGACTCATTTGTTCTGAAATGGCTTGGTCTCCATGTTTAGTACTCTCTGTATAGTCCAAGTAGAGAAACAAATTTTTCATATTTAATAAAGGCTTTTGGAGTTAGTTTGTAGTTCTTAACCAAAAATTAATGGCCTGATCTTTTCCTGGCCTCTGTTTTTTCTTGTCCTGCTCCCCCCCCCCACCCCCCTTTGGGAGCCTTTGGGAGCCTTACTACTCCTAGCTGTTTGGTTTCCCCAGAAGAATGGCCAGGTGTCCAGCTCCATCCAGAGACCATCTGGAGTTCTTAAGGCCCTGCCTGACCCCCTGCTGCATTCCCATGTGCTTGGCACCAGAATCACAGTGTGAGAGGAGCTCATGGGATCATCTCTTCTGTGCTTCCGGCCTTGTATTTCAGGACATGGGAACGGGAGGAGCTCTGAGTTGTCGGCATTTCTGCTATCATCTCCCTTTACTCTCCTCTCAGGGATTCTATTTAAGAACTTGGGAGGCCTATTGAAATACATTCACTGGAAAATAATGGGCTACTAGTATTTAAACATCGCCTCCCTTCCTCCACCTCGGCCCCAGCTTTATCTTCTTCTCAGTCCTCCTCTACCTGCCCTTCACTGGGCCGTGCAGTCAGCCAGCCTTCTCGGGCCAGAGCTTACTCTGACCTTCTGCTGGGAACTGCTCATCTTCCGAGAGCCTGAGCCCAGGGCTCCGCACCTGTCGATCATACAACCCGGCTCTTATCCTGCGGCAGCAGCAAGTTACAGTACTGCTTTCCTCATTGTTTGGTCATCTTTCCACATGCTTTTCTTTTTTTCTTTTTTTAATCCTCAACTGAGGATATTTTTTCATTTATTTTCAGACAGAGTGGGAGGGGGAGATAGAGAAACATTAACGTGAGAGAGAGATACATTGGTTGCCTCCTGCAGGACCCCGACCAGGGCCAGGGACTGAACCACAACTGAGGTACATGCTCCTAGTGGGAACCGAACCCGGCACTCTCTGGTCTGCAGGCTGATGCTCCAACCACTAAGCCAGACTGGCCAGGGCCATATTTATGGATTTTATTATTTGCATTTTTCTGGACTATTTGAGAGTAAGTTGTAGACGTTGTGAGTTTTTTCCTGAAATACTCCAGCGTGGCTCCTCTGAGAACAAGAGTATTCTCTTACATAAGCCACAGGTTTTGTGTGTGTGTTTAAAAGTAGTTTTAGAATCGGAGCACTCGGGAAGACCTTTAAGAGTCATTTGTTCATTTCTCTGCTTCTTGCAGATAAATTCTTTGACAGAACAAAATTGATATTTTCCAAGAGTGATAAACACATTCCTACAGGGACCAGGCCTGTGACACGAATGTGTGAATGAGAAGGTGTAGGACAGTTCTCATGACATGTCTGTATGCACCATCTAAACAAACCAACACTATGCCAAACAACACTTTGTCTGAGGATTACGTCTGTCCCTTGGATCATCAGTTTGTGACCCCTGGATCTATCTTCAAGGCTCCCATAGGGTGGAATTTCCACAGCTCTGTTTTGTATCCTCACCTGAGGACATTTTTCCATTTTTTTGTTCAAATAGAGTGGGAGGGAGGGAGGGGGGGGGGGGAGAGAGAGAGAGAGAGAGAGAGAGAGAGAGAGATCGACGTGAAAGGGACACATCGAGCAGCCGCCACCCGCACAACCCAACCAGGGTCGGGGACAAACTGCAACCGAGGTACGTGAGTGCCCTTAGCAGTAACCGAACCTGGGTCTCTGTGGACCGCAGGCTGACGCTCTAACCGCTGAGACAAACCGGCCAGGGCTCCACAGCTCTCTTGAGAAGCACCTGTTATAGTCAAGAAGTTCTCCTTTAAGTCTGATTAAATGCTCACGAGATTTTTGCGAGTCAGCAGTGTGCAGTGGTTAAAAATACGGATTCTAGCCTGCCTGTGTTTGAATTCATTTCCACTGTTTATTAGCATCTTGGGGAAATTACCTAACTTTTCCACATCTGTAAAATAATAGTATCTACCACACAGAACTAATGTGAGAAGTAAGTGGATATGAATATTTAAAGCACTTTAAAACAGCCTGGAAGACATAATAAAAACCTGGTATCACTGTATTCTATTAATATTAACCTGGCAGCCTGCAGATGTTTTCTCACAGGCATACAGATCGTGATCATGGTACTTGGGAAGTGAGTGAGATGTGAGGACAGTTCTTTCTAGAAGTCTTAGAGGAGATGTCCACTCCTAAGCCAGAAAGCTAATTAATCCACTTTTCTCACCTTGTGCAGACTTTGTGTCTGTTCTCATCCCATGTTCCACTTACTTCTCTTGTCAGACTTCTCCATAGCCCCCGAGATCTCCCTCGTTTGAGGAGGTTGTTGCTTGAATATATTGGCTACAGGTGACTCTGGGCAGGTTCCTGAACTGTGTCCTCCTCTGCAAACTGGAGGTGATAGAAGTAGCCACGTGCCAGGGTTGCGAGGGTTAGATGAGTCCTGTGTGCCCAGGCTGGTGCCTGGCCACGGGGAGCGCCAGTCCTCAGCGCTGATCTGTACCTGCGATCCACGTTTCTTTACCACCAGCACTCCTCGGGGTTTCCTTCCTCCTTGTGTCCAAGCTACTTCTTCTCTTAGCTTCTGTAATATTTTTAACAGTAGGGATCACCTTGCAGCCAGGGCAGGGGGCAGTTAAGGGGGCTAATGGGAGGAAAAGAGGGAGATGGAGGAAAAGGAGGGAAGGGGAGAGGGTGAGAGACTTGAACTGATGGATTAGAAGAGGGTTAGTGATGGCAGCACTTGGGGGAGGGTAGGTATGGAGTGGATGAGTGAGAAATGGAATTGGTAGTTACAAGAAAAGTAATTTAGAAGAAGTATTGGGATAGAAGAAGTAAAAGGAAGCTGACACTATAGGCCATGCTTTTAAGTATCTTGCCACTAATGAAAAGTTTAACCACAGACCTCTGGGGTATAAACATTATCATTCCCATTTTACAGATGTGGAAAGAGGCTCCAAAGAGTTAACTAATACTTAAAATTAGCTAGTAAGTGGCTGACATTTATTTTTCTTCCTCCTTCCTCCTTTCTTTTCCTTTTCTGGAACTTTTTGATTTTTGCCTAGGGAAGGCTTGGATGTACCAATCAATGCAAACATTTCTTCTCTCCTTGGTTTGCTTGTCTGCCTTTTACTTTCCCCAAAAAGTATCTTTTGTCCTCTCAAGGCAATATTTATCGAGTGACGTTGTTTGCTATGCTACCTCTGCTCTGAAATAACCTAGAGAAACACAGCACTTGCCTGTTTAGAGTTTCTGTTCTAAGACTCTTGACCACTCTTTCCCCAGAGAGGTCGGAACAGTCATCAGGTCCTTAGGATGCTGCCCTAACGAAGGAGAGCTGCATGACCTGATTGCAGAGGTGAGTGGGGCCGAGCAGGTTGGGTCCTTAGGATGCTGCCCTAACGAAGGAGAGCTGCATGACCTGATTGCAGAGGTGAGTGGGGCCGAGCAGGTTGGGTCCTTAGGATGCTGCCCTAACGTAGGAGAGCTGCATGACCTGATTGCAGAGGTGAGTGGGGCCGAGCAGGTTGGGTCCTTAGGATGCTGCCCTAACGAAGGAGAGCTGCATGACCTGATTGCAGAGGTGAGCGGGGCCGAGCAGGTTGGGTCCTTAGGATGCTGCCCTAACGTAGGAGAGCTGCATGACCTGATTGCAGAGGTGAGCGGGGCCGAGCGGTTGGTTCAGCGGACTGTGTGACTCCTGCTCTTACCACTGAAACAAAATTGTTTACCTGAAAGTAAAGATGCCCTAAAGTACTAAGTGTGCGCCATGAAAACATCAGGGCAGCTATGTGAATGATCCACCCAGCAGGATCTGAAAGAATTAATATCAGATCTTGAGGAAATGGCCATGGCCAAGTCATGCGATGGATCAAGAAGACCCACTTTAGATACTACACTCTCTAAGATGAGTTGAAAAAAGGCCAGTAGACACAGGGACTGACTATGTGTAGAAAGAGTAATGACAGATGACAGGAGTATTAGAAATAATGTCAGTTCAAAGCAGATAGAAGCAGAAGTAGAGACTATAAGGAATTTATATTTATTTGAAATAAAACTAACTTTCAGAACAAGTAGTAAATGTAAAATAATAAGAACTAACTTGACATTGACCAAAAAGTCTAAGAATAAAAAAAAAAAAAAGATTATTTGCAGTAGTGTGAATGCATCCCTGGAGGAACGTACCCCGTTGGCAGCCCAAGGCCAGAGCTTCATGCATGTTTAGTTTTCCAGAGAAGCGTCTGATCTAATTTCAAGTGCAGCTTTAGTTCAACAAAGCAGAGGCCTGAAGGGAGAAAAGCAACCTGGGCAACCACCAGGAAAAGCATGTTTTTCAGAAATGCTTATCTAGGTATGTGGGTTTTGGTGAAAGCCAAGGACAACAAAGAGAATAAGGGGAAAAGACAAGGAAGTGGGATTTTATTTCCTTATTCCTTGCACTCAGCACAGTACTTGCTTGGTCAACGTGACACAGAAGAGAAGCAATTGTGACTGGGTGAGTTGCTTAGCCTCCGTATCAGTTTCTTCATAATAATAACCTACTTCAAAGTTTGCTTCCAAGGCGAGTGAAATAGTGTATAAGAAAACACGTTTTGAGTCCTAAAGCACTATATAAAGTTAAGGAATGGAAGATTAGAAAGATAATTCTGTTGCCCACATACTAGTACCTTAATAACTAAAAAGCAGTATCGATTTTTCATTAGCATTTAAAAATATTCAATAAAGCTGGAAATCTTTACATTGTTTTTCTATTTGGGGATCCAGTAAAGCTATTTTTACTTCTTGGCCACATGTGTCTGTTTTGCCCCTGCCACTCTGCCTGCCTCTGTGACATGGTGGTGGGGGGTGGCCAGTCATTCCATGGATATTAATACGCCCAGGTCTGTGAGTGCCTATTCTAGTCAGCCATGGCCTGCAGTGGTGACCGTGACTCCTACACTTGTTGCCTCTGTCAAACAGGAGAGGATGCCACTGGGGTAGGAGGGACACTCATGCCTAGGTGGTAAGAAGCTGACACTGAAGGGCGTGAGACACGTGGTGTAGCTGGAGCCCCTTGAGGCCCCTGTGCCCCTAGAAAATGAAATGGGGAAATTAATGACTTGACAGCCACAGATTCCCCTGTTGCTCCAAATTATAGAGACTCACGGTGGGAAGGGACCTTATTAATGACCTGATTTAGCCACTAGTTGATTCTTGGAATCTCTGATAGTCCAGCCAAGAGATGATTCAGTCTTTTCTTGATACTTCCAATAATAAGAAAGGGACTTAAGACCCCAAAGAATCTCATATCCTAATTTTTGCACAACAGCCTCTGGAATGTTTGGAGTAAATAATTTTTCTAAAATAGGAAGATTTACATTTTTTAAAATTTGTAAACATAGTTTTGACAAATGCCAATGAATTTTTATTATTGTATTCTACCCAAGGTAGAGAAATATTTGCTGAATTATATTTGTGTTTTGCTTTTGAAACATGATTTATGTTAAAATTCTTCTTCTTTTTTTTTATCCTCACCCGAGGACATTCTTCCATTTTTTGTTCAGATAGAGTGGGAGGAGGAGGAGAAGGAAGAGGAGGAAGAGGAGGAGGAGGAGGAGAGAGAGGGAGAGGGAGAGAGAGAGAAAGAGAGAAACATCGATGTGAAAGGGACACATCGAGTGGCCGCCTCCCACACAACTCAACCAACCAGGGCCGGGGACAAATTGCAACTGAGGTATGTGCCCTTAGCAGGAACCGAACCCGGGTCTCTCTGGTCCGCGGACCGACGCTCTAACTGCTGAGCCAAACTGGCCAGGGCTGTTAAAATTCTTATATATGGTATTTAGAGTCTAACTTGAAATATCTTATGGTTTTTATATTTTTACTACAAATAGTTAAAAATTCATTTGCATATCTTATTTGGTGACCTGGAACTTGTTGAAATGTAGGTGCTTTATAAACCATCTTAACTACTGATATTATCTTGCTTTTGTGAAGCATGAAATAGTTCAGTTTATTGACTGATCGTTATGTCACTGGGGAGAAATGAATTTTCACTGTGTGTTTTATTGCACCTGTTCAGTGAGTTCAGCATTAAAATAAATAATATTTTAATGAGAAAAGAGACGGCCTGATGATTTCACTATGGGAATGGGAGCAAAGAGCTCTGGGCTGTGATCTCATTAAAACACCTGGCCAACATTGAGGACCAAGATAGGCACTTCATCTCCCTGTGTCTGAATTTTCTCAGATGCAAAACAGATTAAGAAAATTGACTTTTACCAAAGTATAGTGAGAAGCAGTATTTGCCTTATGTTTTGAGACTTAGATAAATGTTGATAGATTTTAAAATCCCGCAGTATTTGCATATTTGCCGAGACTTCTTCATCCACACTGGGGAAGAGGAGGCGAAGAGCCTGTGGAGTGTTTGCAGGCAGCATGGTAGCCCCTTTGTGTGGCAGTGAGAGTAGTCTATTTCCTTCAGGGCGCCTACTCCCATAATTCTTTGCAGAAGGAGAAGCTGGGTGGGTGTAACAGGGCCTCGGTCTTCACATTAAGATGAATTCACTGTAAATGGTATGTGAAGGTGACGCTGGGGGACCTTCTTGCAAAGAGGCTTTATTACATTTGTATTCATAAATGCTGTGTAGGTTACTTTCCCATCATTACCTCCTTTTCAGCACATTCTCCCTTTTCTTAGGTGAAACAAACTAGATTTGAACTTATTTTGCCTCATTTATGTTTGCAATAACAAGATACATTTGTTTTTGCCCTTTGAAGAGGAGGGATGTGTGTGGTGGCTGCCTATTACTCTCCTTTTCTGTCATTCCAAAGAGGCAGGTGGGAAATGGCAGAGGTGGAGCCCTCACTTCTAATGCACATGCCCTGCCCTCTAGGCAGGGGTGTAGGGGTGAGGGACAGGCTAGAAGGCATGCCTAGCAATTTAATGCATTCTCACCACATTCCATGCTGCAGTGTAAGGTTAGGAGGCAGGACCAAACTTCAGTGGAAACTGTTAGGTCTACATGGTGAGTCAAGGAAGATGTGTCCGGAATTTTAGCTCCAGAAATTGATTCTTCAGGAGGAGGTGTAATTGCATGATATAGAGCCAAAGCATGTACACTATTGATAGAAATAATTATCGTTGTCATAGACTCTTCAGGGTTCACAAAGCTCCTTCATGTCATCACATGTAACCTTCATGACAACTATATAAGGTATTGCTGTTCTGCCCGTATTATAAACGAGGACACTGAAGCTAGGGGATGAATCTAATCAGAAGATTTTAAACTATCCTTGGTTTAACATGGTAAATATATTGTGACATTTTTCTGTATGAAAGGCAACATCATTTTTTAAAGACCCTAATGCTTTTCAAAGTGAAGTGGTTTTCCCCGTATGACTTTGCTATAAGTGAAGAAATGGCAATGAATTAATAGTCTTTTCTAACTTGTCTGCTGTAATTTAGGGAATCTTTCTTGAATTCATTTCATTATAAGGTGGTTAATTGAGTTTTCTCCTAAAGAAAGTAGGTCTGAATTACACCATTTCTTTGTATCAGTTCTGTAAAATCAGTTCTGAATTTTGAATATCTGCTGTGCTAATCTCCAATAGATGAGTGTAAGGAATTATACTTGATGATAGTGATTCCAAGTCTTGGATTAAAATAGGCCATATGCCCTGGCTGGTTTGGCTCAGTGGTTAGAGAGTCGGCCTGTGGACCAGAGAGTCCCGGGTTTGGTTCCCACTAAGGGCACGTTACCTTGGTTGCGGTTTGTCCCCGGCCCTGGTTGGGGTTGTGTGGGTGGCATCCAGTTGATGTGTCTCTCTCACATCGATGTTTCTCTCTCTCTCTTCCCCCTTCTCTCCCTCCTGCTCTTTCTGAAGATAAATGCAAAAATGTCCTCGGGTTCGGTTAAAAAAAAAGCTATACATATGTTAATAAGTATATAAATCTCACAGTTCTGGAGGTTAGAAGTCAGAAATCAAGGTGTCGGCAGGCTTGGTTCTTCTGTGAGGGAAGGGTCTATCCAGGCCTTTCCTTTGGCTTGTGGATGACTGTCTTCACGTTCACATGGTGCTCTTCCTATGCACATGTCTGTGTGTTCAAATTTCCCGTTTTTATAAGGACACCAGCCATGGTGGCTTTGGGCCTTCCCTAATGACCTCATTTTAATTTGATTACCTCTGTAAATACCCTGTCTCCAAAGAAGTCATATTCTTATGTAATGGGGGTTAGGAGTATAACCTATAAATTTTGAGAGGACACAATTCAACCCAGTATATTCACTCTCACTCTGTATTTATCTTTAGCTCTATCTCTATACACGTACTATACGTGTATATGTGCACACTATATTTGTGTGTTTTAGATATATGATTTAATATTTGATATATTTTCATTAAATCTTAAAGGCATTGTAATAGTACATGGACTTAACTAATCATTGTGCCATCATTGGATAACAAACATTTCAAGAGAGCAGTCTGTCTGTCTTATCTTTCTGATGGCCTCATAAAGTTAACCAGCTCATTCTTCACCAGAAACAGTGGAGCCACATGTCATCCCCCCGTAGCACACCTGTTTCCAGATTCTCAGAGGTGGTGTTCTACTCCACTCTTTGTTTCTCTGTTATGATAGAGGAATATATCGTGTTTTTAAAATGCTTTTAGATAAACTAATGGAATCCAAATAAAGCATGGAATTTAGTGAACAATTATATATCCATATTGGTTCCTTAGTTGTGACAGTGAACCAACTGTCATTTTACGTACTATAGCAATGCAAGGGTTAGCAATAGGGGAAACCGGATGGGAGGTATCTGGGAAATCTGTATCTCTGCAACTTTTCTGCAAAGCTAAAACTAGTCTAAAATAAAAAAACTTATTTAAATAGTTAAAAACCTTTTTAAAAAATATGTTTTTATTGATTTTTTAGAGAGCAAGGAAGGGAGAGAGAAAGAGAAACATCGATGTGAGAGAGAAACATCAATGGGCTGCCTCCTGCACGCCCCCCACTGGAGATAGAGCCCACAACCTGGGCATGTGCCCTGACTGGGAATCGAACTGGGACCTCCCAGTCCATGGGATGATGCTCGATCCCCTGAGCCACACTGGCCGGGCAATAGTTAAAAACTATAATATAAAATAGTGTCTGGTATATATAATACAGTTTCTTTAGAATCATCATATAATTGTATTGTTTTTATGCCATTGCTTATATATCTTTCTGTACAAAAGAATGGATAAGATGTGGCCTCTAGAGGACAGTGTTGGGTCATAGACAGGTTTTCACAGCCCAAGTTGAAGATGAACTTACTTTTCACTTTTGAACCACAAGGCTTTTGTTTTATTCATTACCCATCTTTAAAAAAAAAAGTCAAAGAAAATTCATGCCTTTTCTGGTATATCCTGATTGGTTGGAGATTTGCTTTAAGTTTTTATTTTAGTGTAGCTTGGCTCTACACAGATCTATCAGACCAACTCACAGGGTTTTCCCCCTAATGTTCAGAGCACCACGGGCTCCTAGAAGTTGTGTGGAAGCCCGAGTGGGTTGGTGGTGGGGCTTTGTTAGGTACCTATCATGTGCTCACGAATTCTCATGTGGTAGAGAGTGTGCTGTAGACCTGAACTCCCTTCGGAAAAATGAAAAACAGTTTGTAGATTGATGAGGCTGCTCATAAAGTAAAGTGGGTTTTGATCTTTCGCCGTTGAGGCTGTCCTACAGAGATTTGTTGGCGGTGGGGACAAAAACACACCATTGCTCTGGAGCAGATTTCTTGAGTAATTAGAATAGAAACTCAACATTTTACTTTAAAAATGATCCCTCCAAAAGTAGTCTCTTGAGATTGGCGTTTTATTTTTAAGGAGCTCCAGGGTTTGGAAATTACAGGGTGCTACTCAGTCAAGCACATCAGAGCCATGTGAACATTCACTTGCAGAATGCTCGCCTTGACCTAGAGGCTGCTAAAGGCTATTGTCCATGTATTGACAAGCTCAGAAATTCTGAAACACATTGTTCTATCATTAGACAGAGGACATATCCTGCTGATAGTAGACTCTGAGGGCTCCATTCATACTAGGTGAGAATGTAGTATAAACATTAAAAAAATAGTTGTCATTTGGAAGACAGTGTGTTCCATGTAGTCACAAGCTATAGATTTCTTATTTTTGCTCAAAGAATAAATCCATTAAAAGCTCTTCTGTTGAGTTGGAATCTATGAGCCTTTTAATAGGATCTTTGAAAGGGAGTGAACAATTTACAGCTCCTCATAAATAGCCTGACATGAAAGTTAAGATCGATGGTGTTTTGCTCAGCCACACCATCCCAGCTGAACCTGTGGGCAGGAGTCTTCTCATTCTCATCTGATAGTGCTGGGTACCAAAACTCCTCTTTCCAGGTGTAGGGTTCTCCTAATTCGTGCTGGTAGAACAATGCCCTTCTGGGTGTTTAATGACTATTTACAATGACTTGATGTGTACTTTGGTCCTTGAGATCATGATTGGTCCCCTAACCTGGTCCCTTGTCCAGGGTTCCTTCTCTCAGGGAAAAACATCGCTTCATCCCATTTGTGCAATTAGAATCCTAGGAGTTGTCCTTGACTCCTCTCTCTCCCCCTCATCCTTGCCTGTAATAGATGCAACACCAAGTCTTATTGATTTTACTTCTTTAGTATGTATTGACACTGTCCACTTTTCTCTCCATGGCCACCACTCTAGTCCAAGCCCTTGGGTTATTACTACAGAAGCACCTCACCCACAACCAGTGTATCTTTCAGACATACATCTGTGAGACCTTCAGTGATTTCTCATTGGTCTTAGTATAACAGCCAAAGTCACTTTCATAGACATTAAGGCCCTGCAAGGTCTGGTTCCTGTCTCCACAGACTCATCCAGAAATATTCTCTTCGCTCCCTATGTTCAGCCTCCTGGCCTCTAGTCCATCACAACACATAGGTCTCAGTGCATGTAATTTCCTCTGCCTGGGAGGCTCTTCCCTGCTGGCTTTGTTTAATGACTTTCTACTCATCCTTTATTCATCAGCTCAAATGTGCTGTTTCTTATTTATTTTTATTTATTTTTTATCCTCACCTGAGGACATTTTGCATTTATTTTTAGATAGAGTGGGAGAGAGAGAGGGAGGAGGAGAGAGAGAGAGAAACAACGATGTGAGAGAGACACATCGACTGGTTGCCACGCACATGACCCCAACCGGGGCCGGGGACAAACTGCAACCAAGGTACATGCCTTTAGCGCTAACCGAGCCCAGGACTCTCTGGTCCGTGGGCTGACACTCTAACCGCTGAGCCAAACTGGCCAGGGCTCAAGTGTGCTTTTTCTTGAATGCCTTTTCTGATCTCTGGCCCAGAAAGGTTTCCTTTATTCTATGCTCTAATAGGCCCACACTCCTTTACTTCATTTCATTTACATAAACTTATAATTAGACACTCAGCTTTCTTGTTTTTTGATCAATATATATCTCTACTACCAGAATATAAACTCTGTGAGCAGGGACCATGCCCAAAGATTCTTCTTATCAAATCTCCAACACTTGGCACAGTGCTTGGAAAAAGTAACTGCTCAATATATTTGTTGAATGAATAAATGGTTATTTTAATTGAATGTTTAGGTAGAGGAAGAAGAACCCACTGGATACATTCGATTTGAAAAATTTCTTCCAGTGATGACCAATATACTACTGGAAAGAAGGTAAGAAAGTAAATGCAATGGTAAAGTAATGATTATAATTATATTAATGACAAATTACTTGTTTTTTTCACTTCATATATTATAATCAACTAGTATTTCTCCCAGGATAGCTTCCCACTAAGTTTTCATTATACTCTGCCAGTTGGTATGTACTTAGAAATATCAGTCACTTCAGCATTAATCTAATAAGCATAGTTTAATTAAAGGGCAAATAAGCTACAAAAAGTATAAATCAACAACATTCTTATTATCTTCTATTTTGAGTTATCAATTATAGATAAGAATTAACCCTAATTATTTTTCTAGAGAAAGTGTAGCAGTAGCTTGCCATAGTTGGTTTATTGTATAAAAAAATGTTCCCAGATAAGTTTATTTCTATAATGGTGAAAAAAATGAATAGATAACATTCAACAGGCCAGTGATTTTGAACTAAGTATTTCCTGTGAATGTTCAGTGCTTTAAACTTTTATATCTAGAAACCCAAGAAAAGAGTTCAGTGAAGGAAGTATTATTTTTCTAGTATGTCAGTGGCATTTATTTTATATGATCATTTATTATGTAGAGACTGAGCTAAATACTGTGGCATTTACACCTTTCTTTGCATAATTAGATACAGACCAATTCCAGAAGACATCCTTCTTCGAGCTTTTGAGGTATGTATGCTCCAGATTTTATATATATTTATATGAAAAATTCATCATGTATAATTTATTCACCAAATGAAAAATACAATATCTGTTTTTCCCCTAGGTATTAGATTCAGCTAAACGTGGGTTTCTTTCTAAGGAAGAATTGGTCAGATATATGACTGAAGAAGGTAAGAGTTATTTATTACATATCTTACAACAGTGACTTATTTAAGTGATTAATAATTTAACAATTATGCAAAAATTTTAGGGGATACTTTAAAATCAGTCATTCTTGTTGAAAAGAATTATTTACTATTCCTGTTATTTTGGATTTGGGATGGTTTCTGTTTAGTAGTGGGTGAGAGGAAAAGGGTAGGTTAAGGAGAGGTACATTTTTGCCTTTACAGGATTTCATAAAGTATAATGACACTTCTGTAAATTCAAGAAGGCATTCATTCACTTAGAATATTTACAGAATAAAAGGTATGCCACCTGGAAACATGAACTATCAAAAATTTTCAGTTTTTTATGCTTATGGAACCATAGACAGTTGCTTTGAATTTGAACTGTGTATGCACTTACACACAATACCTGCACACCAAATAAGCCAACACACAATACCTGCACACCAAATAAGCCAACACACAATACCTATACACCAAATAAGCCAACACACAATACCTATACACCAAATAAGCCAACACACAATACCTATACACCAAATAAGCCAACACACAATACCTATACACCAAATAAGCCAACACACAATACCTATACACCAAATAAGCCAACACACAATACCTATACACCAAATAAGCCAACACACAATACCTATACACCAAATAAGCCAACACACAATACCTATACACCAAATAAGCCAACACACAATACCTATACACCAAATAAGCCAACACACAATACCTATACACCAAATAAGCCAACACACAATACCTATACACCAAATAAGCCAACACACAATACCTATACACCAAATAAGCCAACACACAATACCTATACACCAAATAAGCCAACACACAATACCTATACACCAAATAAGCCAACACACAATACCTATATACCAAATAAGCCAACACATAATAATACCTGCATACCAAATAAACCAACACATAATACCTGCACACCAAATAAGCCAACACATTTTCTTTAGAAATTCTCTGCTTAGGCTGATGTGTTAATTTGTTTTTTCTGAGTTTCAGTAGCCTAATTGGCATTCTCTTGTCTATCTCTTATTGGTCATCTCCCCTTCTGCCATATAAAGTTATTAGAGTTCTAATTTACTGGTTCACAGACTGAATCCAGAATGATTCAGTGTTTCTAATCACGTGATATAGAGTAAAAAGTGCAAGCATTTTTGAGTAGGGAAGACTAAACTGCATCTGCATGTACAACTGGTTTGACTATTTTGACTTGAGCCATTGTTAGATGAGAAAACAGGGAAAGAGAGTAAGACTGGCCTGCCACCCATAGCTGCCACCCAAGAACTACATGACATTGTTAAAATTATCTTAGGGATTAACTTTGATGGAAATGTTATTACTTTCATAGCATCAGCCTCTTAATCTTAAGGATTAATTTAAGGGAAGTAAATCCTAGATTATATTAGGCAATATAAATGTGGTCAAAGTGGCCAAAACAGTTCAATGTCATTGGTATGGTGTACCTACTAAATGCAGTGAGAGGTAATGATACTAAAACCTGTCCCTTTCTCAAGGAATTAAAGTCTTATTGGTGGAAATAAAACTAAGTTATAAAACAATGAAAAATATAAGAAAATAGACAAAAATGAGTATCAACCTAGAAAGCTTGGTTTGGGAAACTTTAAAGAAGAGATAGATTTCTTAAGATGGTAGAATTTATGTGGGTGAGTTATTGAGAGCAGGAGTAAAATCTTATGTTACAGCACCCCCATACATAGTTAAGTCTCAAAAATATTTGTTGAATTAATGAATGAATGAATAGATGAATGAAGAGTGGGTGAAGGGGCCAGTGAGAGGAAGACATAGCATGAGCAAAAAATGGGTGGTAGGAATGAGCATATTTGGGGAGCCTCTAGGAAGAAAGGGCCCAGAGGGGATTGTTGACCAACACTAGGAAATGAATCTAGATTGGTTTACTAGGACTAGATTTTGGAAGCTTGGGCTCAGGAGTTTAGAATTCATTCTGTGGGCAATGGAGAAACATTGTAGGGTTTTGAGCAGACAAGTCACATAGTGTGAGAGAGATTATGGGAAAGTTAATCTGGTGCTGGTAGATTTATTAGATGAGTAAGAAAGAGTATACTAAGGAGGCCAGTTAGGAGGCGATTTTAGCCCTTTGAAGGTATCCTGATAAGGGCCTGATCTGACAGTGGCAATGGGAATGGAGTGAAGAGATTGATACAACAGGACTGTCTGTAGTGGATCATGGGTCATGATGAGTGCAGGGGATAAAGATGGGAGCAGAGTTAAAAGTAAGGAGGCTGTGACCTGATTATGTAATAGGGAAGTCAGGAACAGACTGAGGTGGATTCAGAGGCAATAAAATTTTTCACAGTATCCACAGAATAGTAATTAGTGTGTGAATATGCATTCTAAATGCCCAGGATGTCATATGATGAACATAATAAATCACACTGAATCAAGTTCCTGCAAAATAGAAGTCCACATGTTCAGGCATGCATATTGTGTCAGACAGTGTTTAGCAGCAGGGAAGAAACACAGGTTGCTACTTATGTGTCAGGCAGTGGTTCTAAGTACTATTCATACAGCAACACTTTTAATCCTCATAACAACCCTCAGAGATAGGTAGTATTTTTTATCGTCTTCGTTTTTTTAGACAGGAGAACTGAGGCACAGAGAGGTTGAGTGACTTGCTCAAGATCTTAAAGGTGAGACAGCTTAGCATTTGAACCCAGGCAGTGTGGCTCCAAGCTCGTGCTTTTAATCATTAAACTATTTTCCCCCATCCTTAGTCAAATGCTGCCTATCCATTTCCTTACCCAAGGAAGCAGTGGGGTTGTCTTCTGTAGTTTACTGTGAGCAAGGCCGTGTTCTAAGAGGTGGAGTGTGGTTATTGAGTTCAGGGACCTTGTGCTGGACTGCTGGCCTTCAGGGTCTAGTTCCTCCACCCACTGGTCGGGCAGGCTGCTGGGTTTCTTTGTGTGCTGTGTCCTGCACTGTGAGTGGGGATAGCAATTCATACCTCTTAGGAGGTGGTTGGAGATTGACATAGTTCATATATATGAGCACTTAACATCAGTGCCTGGCATGCAGTAGTTCTCAGCAAATGCTTATTGGTATTATTTTAAGGACTTACGTGTGCCCATCAAAGTTCTCTGGTAGCATGTTTAGTGTTTAACAATCAGGTATAAAAAAGATTCAGAATTTGTCTTTTTAGGCAATTCAGCTATTCTTTTATTTCTAAGGATGTAAGCATGATTTCAAAAGAACTCAGCATGTTCCCTTTGTTTGATAATACTATCATCATTGTCATCAAAATCCCCACTCGAATAATTCCTGGATTATTAACTGAATTCCAACTAAAAAAGCATTGTTTGTAGAGGCAGGTGACTTAAGTTCAGAAGGCCTTAGTAACTTACCTGCTTGGATAAGACTCTTTACAGGTAAGGTGGCGATTTGGATATTTCTGTATTTTTGTTTAAGATCAGGAAATAGTTCTTTCTTAAATAGTCGGCAGCCTTTCCAACATTCTTCCTGAATTTGCTTCTCATCTTGGGAAAACCAATATCCAAGATGGCCCTCAACTGTTACCTGAATCCGACTAAAGGCCACAGATTTTCTATCCACCTTTTGGTTTTATTTGACAGAAACATTGGGCCAACTTCTAACAGAGAGAGAGGACTACTTTGAATGGTTGATGGATGACATCTGCCACTGGGTTCAGCTGCCATCACTACGTTGGCCAGACCTGGTTAGAGCATATTCAGAGATATAATTGTTACAGTTTCAAGTCTCTGTTATCTGCTCTTAGCCATAATGATTAGACTCCCTATAAAACTGGGACTTTAGGTTAATTCTTTGACAATGTCAGTGGTTTTAACATAAATAAATAAACAACATTATTCATGATGTCTTGATGTCCTCTGCCGGTTTGGCTGGAATGATGGATTCTATAGGTTGCCTGAGCTATGATATCTGCAAAGTAAAGTAAGTCCCAGATCTGCCTGGGGCGCAGCAGCCTGCTCTTTGAACCCCTGGACTCTCATGATGTGCTGTCTCTACCAGCCCGGGGAGAGTAACTGGTGACACAGTGGGGGCTTGTGGGGTCCCGTGGCAAATAAGCTGGTCAGTGGAAAGAGAAAAGAAAGCAGCAGGAGGTTGTAAGTGATGATTTCCCTTCTTGTCCCTGCCAGGTGAGCCTTTTTCTCAAGAGGAAATGGAAGAAATGTTGTCTGCTGCGATTGATCAAGAATCGAATTCCATTCATTACAAGGACTATATAACAATGATGGTGATAGATGAAAATTAAACACTCTAAAGACTTAATTTCTGATTGAAAGCATAATTTAAAAAATTGCTTGTCTTTGTTAATTTCACACTTTATCTTATAATTCCTATATATGCTAATTAATGCCTAATGACAACTATTTCAAGATATTTTGTTTTTTAAAAAATGATTATAACATTTAAAACATTCGGTATATCACCTTGTGGAGTGACAAATCGCTAATTATTTAAAAATTATTCTTAAAAAAGTTTAACATTATCCATGGATTGTCGTTAATTTTCTACAATAAAACCTAGGTTACCTTCAAATTAATTAAGCTGACAAAATGAAAAATGACTGGAACGACCCCAGGTTTGGCACGGACAGGTCTTGAGAGGGAGCAGCGCGACCACGAGTGGGAACGAGGGGCGAGGCGGTGAAGACCCGTGGCACACTGCCGCAGTCTGAGTGGAAGCGGGTGTGGAAACGAACCGAACAGTCAGTTCCTGATGAGCGCCCATTACAGATCTCATTTGAGCCGGTAATGACTTAGCGCGAAAATGTAACTGTGCTGATCCAGCATGTCACCATTTATGGAAGGGCTGAAGGAGCTGGGATAATTGAATCTAGAGAAAAAGGACTGAATAGAAATTCATAATGTAAGGAAGTGGCAATTATCCTTAGTCTTTAGAATTCTCACCTTCTCAGAATACCTGTCATGAGAATATCGCCCTGAGTGCAAGGTGAGAGTATTGAGGAATCTTACGTTGTGCAGGAGGTACAGCTGTGACGGAGCAGAATCAAGTGGTCTGAGCACAAGGAATCACAGTGGAAAATGGCACAGGGATTGCAGGCCAAGGGAGAATAAGGTAAAGGAAAGTCAGTAGTCTTCCATAACCTGTCTGTGCTTTCACACACACCCCACACACACACACGGTGATGCTTCACCACTGCATGTGTGTATAAACATGTAAGTATTTAACGTTGCCTGTGATTCTGCCTGCTAGGCATGCATGCAGTCTTGCCCCCCAAGAGAGGAGGCTGCTACCTGAGGCTCTTTGTCACTGTTCGCTCATTCTTGGAACATTGAGTATTACTGGGTCATTGGGTCATGTGTCGGAACTGGAATTACAAGTGAATGAGCCCCTAACAGAGGTCACAGTTCAGTGAAGGAGACCTGCAAGTCAGTCAGCAGTCACACTCAGTGGGCACATTCAGGGCACTGTGGAGTACCTAAGAGGGGCAGATAACTAAGCTGGCTGGGAGCTTCGCGGGAGACAAAAGACTGTTGTGAGTAGAGGGGCTTCCCAGGACAGGTGACGTTGGACTTAACGACTAAGTGGGCGACAGGGCACAGGGTGTTTCTGCAGGGGACCAGTAAGCACAAAACCCCCAGAGGTGCCATGAAACATGGAGCGAACTGGGAATTGAAAGTACTGCAGTATATTTGGTGTGTAGGAGATTTGAAGGATGTGCAAGAGAGATGAAATGGGAGCTATATCATTAAGGCTCTTAGGTTAGGTCTACAGTTAGGGTTTTAAGAGTTTGTATTTTCTTCTGAAGCTCATAAAGAAAGAAGGATCATCTGTAAATAGCACAAAAAGTAGACGTGAAGAGTCAAGACTAGAAGTAGAGAGACCTGGTGGTAAGCTCTTTGGTTGGCGGGAGGAGGTCGATGAGAAAAGTCAAGCATGAGTCCCAGATCTCTGGTTTGGACAGTGGGTGAATTATAGTGTCATTCACTCAGGTAAGAAATCCAAGAAGCCAGTCAGGGTTGGTAGGCAAAATGATGAATTTGGCTGTGGACCTCTTGGGATGGAGGAACTAATGGGACACCCTGGGGAGATGTCCAATAATCAGATTAGTAGGAGGGAAATCTGGCCAGAGACGTGGGTTTGGGAGTTCTTAGCATATCAATAGTACTTAATGCCTTAGAAAGAAAGAGGGTCAACAGAACCCTGGGGAACATCAGCATTTAAGGGAAGGCAACATTTAAAGGATTCCACAGAGACTTGGCCAGTTTGGCTCAGCAGTTAAAGCGCTGGCCCGCGGACCAGAGAGTCCTGGGTTTGGTTCCCACTAAGGGCATGTACCTCAGTTGCAGTTTGTCCCCGGCCCCAGTTGGGGTTGTGTGGGTGGCAACCAGTCGGTGTGTCTCTCTTATGTTGATGTGTCTCTCTCACATCGATGTTTCTTTCCTCCTCCCTCTCTTCCTCCTGCTCTATCTGAAGATGAATGCAAAAAAGATAAAATAAAATAAAATAAGTAAATAAAGGAGCCCACAGAGACTGGGGAGGAGAAGCCCGAGAGCAGGGAAAGCAGGGGAGGAGACTCTGGGATGACAAGGTAGGAGAGGACCACAGAAGGAGGCAGTGATCAGCCATGTGATGTCATAGAGAGGCGGAGTAGATCACAGACGGAAAGAAATGTCCATTTGTTTGGCAACAAAGATTTCTTCGATGACTTCTGCAGGAGCAGATATGCTGAAGGACGGGGTACAGAGTTCAGTGGGTTGAGAAAAGGGTGGATGTGAGAAAATAGGGCAGGAAGGACAAGCGACTTAGCCATGAAGAGGGGAGACATGGGGCTGGAGAGAGATCATTTTGGAAGGTGGGACACATGTCCACGTTTATATTCAAAAGGCTGAGAGCCAGCAGAGAAGCTGAAGACCCTGAGGAGGGGGGAGGGGCCAGGTTCCAGAGGCCAAAGGGACTGGCTTTGGGGTTGGTGGGAACAATGAGCCAACCTATGGCGTCCCTACTGAGTGAGGAGGAAGGTAGGAGGTTACAGAGCTTGAGGACAATGGTGAGATTTGGAAATATCTCTGGGAAATGGGAGAAAGAGTTGAGAAAGAGCCCGTGTAAGGATTTTAAAGAAATTCTGGAGGACTTTGCTCAGTCACACCCATGAGGAGCAAAGATAGTGGATTGTTGTATTGATTCAGGGTTAAGGTTTTTTTAAAAAAATTTTTATTTTAAATCCTCACAGGAGGATATTTTTCCATTTTTATCTTCAGATAGGGAGAGAGAAAGAGACACATCGACTGGTTGCCTCCTGCATGACCCTGACTAGGGACTGGGGATGAACTGTAACCGAGGTATGTGCCCTTGACTGGAATCGATCCTGAGACTCTTTGGTCCGCAGGCTGACGCTCTAACTGCTGAGCCAAACCGGCCAGGGCTCAGGGTTAAGGTTTTATTGTTTGGTGAGATGGAAGGAACCAAGGTCCAGGGAGTTGACTCCACAAGGAGTTTAGTGGTGGTGTGTGAGTCCAGGGACTTTGGGTAGATACAGGAGGAGTGGGCTAACAGACAGAGAACGGGCCTCAGCACCTCTAACAGACTAACTGCTGGGTGGTCAAGGGGGAGTCCTGCTTGAAGTTCGACTACTGTGTTCTTAGAGTATTCCTCTCTTCTCCCCTGTTGTTGTAAACAGTGATCGTAGCTAGCGTTCGTGGCTGTCCACTGTGTGCCAGGCACTGTTGTGCTTCACAGGTATGAGCTCGTTGACCCTGACCGCCACCCAATGACAGGTGCTGCTCTGTTCCCCATTCACAAAGCTGCTCACGAAGTTCCACAGCTGTATGCGGTGTCGTACTTGGCAGTTTTGTTAGGTTATGTTATGATAGCAAACAACCCCAAATCTCAGTAGTTTGCTACAATAAAAGTTATTTTTTGTTCATGTTTTATGTCACCTGGAATTAGCTGGGACTCAGCTTCACCTGTCTTCTCTGTTCAGTCATCCACCTCATGAGTGGGGTGACACATGTCCTAGTTTACCCAGGGTTGTCCCAGCCTTCATTTGTTGTTAGTTGTTCCAGCGGAGATAATGGGCCTCCCTCTTAGAAGTGTCTCAGTGGTCGTCCCGTTTAGAAAGCAGTGAATAGAAGTGGTGGTGAGGATTCATCACTTACGGAAGGTTTTATGAAAAGTAACCACAGAAGTGTAGTAATGGAAGGCATTTCTTCCTTCACTAGTTCCCCAGGGTTGTGCCAGGGTAAATGCCAAGCGGACTGATGTGGCCTCACTCGGTCGTGTTCGTGGGAATCACCAGCCAGAGGTGAGGAGCCTGGCGCCTCTAGGCCAGGGCAGAGAGGGACGAGGAAGGGGTGTGGTGGCCCTCAGTGTTGACAGGCTGTTGATGACAGGCAACACACTGCAACCGGTGAGGAGGGTGGCAGAGACACGACATACCCTTGAAGGTGGAAGTACACCTAGGGGCATGTCATTTGGCAGCAGCCCCCGGTGCCAACGTGTAGTGTTAAAACGTGTGCTGGTGCCTAATGTGGAAACCCAGGCACAGACTTGTTTGGAGCACAGGACAGCTCGGGGCTGTTTTCTGTAAGCTCGTTACCCTGCATAACCTTGGCTCTGCCAAGAAGTAGCCCTGATCCCTTCAGGATCAAATGGCGACATCATGTCTTCCGAGGAGAGGTACCGTGAGGGAAGGACGCCTCGGGATTGGGCAGCCCCAGGTTCACCTAGGATTCTTCCGGAAGTTCTGGCTGATGTCAGACTTCACACCCTGGATCATGAAATACGATTACTTTTTTATTTTTAGCACAAATTTGTTGGTTTTTTAAAAGGCCATCAAAACTACAACCCAGAGCCCTGGCCGGGTTGCTCAGTTGGTTAGAGTGTTGGCCCCATACACCAAGGTGGCAGGTTTGCTTCCTGGTCAGGGCACACACAAGAATCAGCCAATGACTGCGTAAGAAAGTGGAACAACAAATCGACGTTTCTCTCTCTCAAATCAATCAATCAAAAAATGTTAAAGAAAAAGGCTTCCCACAGAAATCTCACTTTCTCTCCTAGTTGCAGAATAAATGTAGCACATTTGCAAAGGGAACATTTTGCTTTATACCCAGACCATTTCAGTTCACATTTTACCCCTCACTTACCTACTTACCCCTCAAGATCCAATTTAAATCACAGTGGCACTTACTTGGCAAGAGGATTTCTTGGTCTCTTGTTCAGAAAGTGCTCTTATCCTTGTGACTGGCTTCTGCAGAGCCTGCCAAGCCTGCCGTGCCCACCAGCTCTGCCAGCTCATTCTCACCTCCGGCCTGGGGAGGCTGCGTGACTCAGGGCCTGGAAGCCTGGGGATCCTCTCCCTGTGATCCCCGCTTTGCCTGTGACGCACTCTGGCTCAGGCGCTTCCCTCCTGTGCTCCTCTGTCTCTGGCCCAACTTCAGGCTTCCTCCCACCTTCCAGAAGCAGCAGATTTAGTCCCCTTCGCGTGCACTGAGTGTCCAAGTGCCAAGTGCTAAGGGACAAAAAGAAAGTCGAGAGGCAGGCTGTGGGGACTGTCACTGGCAGGACCGTCATCTGGAATGGAGTGTGGTTAGGTCTTTCCTTCCTTCCTGCTTCCCTTCCTTCTCAGATCAGCAGCGTCTCCAGGTTGCATATGCCCCACCGCATGCCAGGCACGGCAGCTGGCTCCTGGGCCTTCGCCTTTCTGCAGCGTGCTCACCAGTCACCTGCTTCAGAAGCACCTGGCAGACCCCTAAAACAATCCCCGGAGGTGGGGCCCAGGAAGCCACCTGCGTAACCGACCTTCGAGGGGGAGTGGTGTGCACACTGA